TTCACCGGGTTGGATCGTTTGCTGAACCCTAACGTGCTTGATTTAATTTTCACATTCAGCTTTCTGCTATACCAGGTGCACGATGTTTGCTGACCGCTGCATAATCAGTTTTCAAACACTTATGCGATAGTTGTAGCGTTGTAGAATAGTTTATCTCTTAACGTAGACCTGTCTCCATTCTGTTGGTCCACGTTTCATGCTGTTCTCCAGCTCGCTGTTCATTCTGTTTTGTTTCTTATATGAACAGCTTACGGGTGGGATTGAATTCTTTGTACTCGGTTAATATTTCAAACAGATTTCACCCCTTTTGGTAATCTAAAATTTTACTGAAAATGCTTATGCTTGCATAATACAGGTCGAAACCGGCACTGTTGTACATTATTCCAGATCTTTAATTAGAATCACAGTTTCATTGTTTTATGAAAACACTAGCCTGACAAAGGCAAAGCAGATGTGGGTTTTTCTAGAACTGGGCATTACTTTATAGCTCTAATTGTTAGACATGCTATCTAAAGCGTTGGGAGTAAGAGCGATTCTTTCATTTAATTCTGGTTGGCTGTGCCATTATTGAAAATGATGGAACCTAGGTATTTAAAAGAGCTGATTTCCTCTGCTGTTTCACCGTTTCCCCGTTAAATTCATTTGCGGATTTCTTTTACCAAATAGTATGATTTTGAAGTTAATAACCCCAAACCCATTCGCGTTCCAAAGCCATCAGGTATAGTATTTCGCTTCCTTTAGTACTATGATGTGGCTTACTTCAGGTCGGTAAAAATTCTGAAAGGATAACTTGAATTGTGCATTTCTGCTGAATATGTGATTCCCCCCTGCACTTTTGAGCAACTCATCGATAGACAGGTAACAAATGGATCTACGAACAGAAGAAATATCATGGTATTCTGGTGTGGTAATGTAAGAGTTGGCTAGAGTTACTACCGTGATATCTCGTTTGCAGTTAGCGGTTGCAAGTCTGGACCAACCTGATATCTAGAGAAAACCAATGCTAGGTGTAAACCGCATATCAATAAAATTTACACCTTATCAAGGTTGCATTCGAAGGCAAATAAAATTGCTGGCATTACACTCTGGTCATTAGAAAAATGAAAATTGATCAATGCGAGAGGAGCTCGTCTGGAAATGAAGTTACTTCAGTGAAGTTCCGCAGTTGACGATGAAGTTATGTCACAGTGGAATATTAATGGCGCCCCGTTTTAATACAGGCGCAGTTGCGTCATATTTTCATTTGTCTATGAATTCCATATCTGATAAAAGATGGCATTGGTTTTTCTGATATTTCTGTTACTCCGTAGCTGATAAGCTTTAAAGGAATCGACACCCCATGCCTTCTTTATACCGAAATGTTGCAAGGAGTCACTTCACTTGTTAACCTGTTAACTTCACATGTTAACCTGTCGCAGTCGAGAAACGTACATTTCTCTCGATCGAGGTCGATGTGTGCGGCTAATTATCGCCTGAGTTTAGGTGCGACTCTATGGAGATCACTCAGCACAGGCGCCAAGTTTGAAATGAGTCTGAAGTAATGAAGCTCGCTGCCTACGACTGAGTAGATTATATTCACTTAGGTCTGCAGGCTTTCATCAGAAGATTTTTACATCTTCATCTTCCAGGAGCGCTTTTCCTTTCGGATCACGGAGGCAGACCCAACAGTCAGCGCTTCCATCGTTCCTAGAGTCTGGAACAGATTCCTTTTATATATTTGCATCAGCTTCATCTTGGCTGTCCTGGACCTTCTGCCGGTAGGTTGGGCAAGAAACAGTTGCTCTGCCTTCCTTTCAGGAGGCATTCGCAACACGCGTCCTAGCTATCGCAGCTGTGACTTCTCAGTTTGAAGAAGCAGCGGCTGTACACAAAGGTTGTCGCGGATATCCGTATTCAGGACCAGCGTAAGGCCAGCGACTCATCTCAGAAAGCCAATTTCCGCAGCTTGTAACGG